ATGGGTGACTCTACAGAAGTTTCGCAGCTGTTTGGAGGTGACGTGAATTCCAAAGGTCTTCTCCAGTCAGGCTGCGACTGGAGATGACTTCATATTTTGGTGTACATGAAGGTGATGGGCGAGAGCCAGCTCCTGCTTATCGAGGAACATCTTGGGTGATGTGACTCGGCCAAAGCGTTTTTTTTGCCACCCCCCCCCTCCCTGTAGGTGAGATCGCAGACATAACGGTAATTAGATTAATCAAGCCGTACTTGGTCGCAGGGAAGGGAAGGATCCTACAAGCGTTCGAGAAAATGTTTTCGGTGACTTCGCCCTCACCCTCATCCTCCTTCCCCCACTATGATCGACGACAGTTTTTTTTCCTGGGAAAATTCACAATGAGTAGGAAAATAGCGGGAATTTGGCAAAATTTAGGAACGTTGTAGGTGGAGAAGGGAGTCGCACAGTCAGTGCCAGTGATATACTGGCTACATGGTAGCCTCTTTCAGATCGCCTACTCATAGACTGCCCTACCTAACGCATGGCAAAAGTGTTTTATTTGATTGAAACAGCAACGAAGTGCTTATAACACGTCTTTCAGGGTTGTATGACAACAGAATCGTAATTCGCCGCGCTGGTGGGCGTCGCGTGCGACAGACGCCCGCAAATGGCGATGGTTCCAGGTAGTAGATGGCGACAACAGGCAATTCAGAACCGAAAATAGTCATGAATGTCTACGATGACGGGGTCTACATGAAGTCCGGTGCTCCAATCGACAGGTTAACGAGTTAAGAAAACGCCGCGCCCATCGCTGCGCGCGGCGAAGCGGCAAATTACGATTTTCTTGCCCGTCTCCCGCCTTTCAGATCTACATTTGTACGGTGTGCAGCGTTTGTTGACTCTCCACGGGTATGTCAGTGGAAGCGTCAAACGTGACAGGTTGCAACAAACTCGATGGGCCCAAAGCTTTACTTTCAAGTCGAGACATCGCACGCTTCCCTAAATAGTTGACATGAGAGACCCAGACACAGAGAGTCGACAGGCCGCATCGCTACCATATTGACTAGGCTGGGTCCCAGTGCGAATGGTGCATACATCACCGCGCCTGTAACGATTCGTTTTTCGCGCACTTGGCGACTCGGAA